GTTTTTGTTTCCTATTTGAGTTGGGTTTCGAATTTTCCTTAATAATTTCGACCCTCATAGGTTTTTCTCCTCTATTTTAGGATAATTTTAATATTAAATAATTGTGACATGTTCCATTATTTAATTATTTCTTAATTTTTAAGTTTTAGGAAACTTCTATTCCAAGAAATCCGAATAAGAGTTGTAATCGGATTTCTCTTCCTCCTTAGCCGACCTAGACCCTTCCTTGGCCCATAAGTAAAGATCTTGGTCGTGGCTTTGAGGGCATGACTTCAATAATAAAGAATTTTATTCATAAACTTGTGAGATCTCTCCTTGTTTAGAATAGGTGCATTGCACAACTTTTCAAAATTGGAGCTTTGTTTTAGCGTGCCTTTGAACCTGAAAGGTTTGCTCTTAGGTGGAGGCTAGTAGTTAAGCGTTTTATTAGAGCCTTAGTCCACTCGTTCTAGTCATAATTGTAAGGTTAAGGTTTGTTGAGAGGTGGCTGGTAGGGTTGTTAACCCCAAACCTTTCTTTCTCTTCTTACTTTCCATCCTTTTATTTTATTTTCGTGTATTTCCATCCTTGGATTACACATAACCCTTGTTTTGGTTCATAAAATTTGGAAGGCAAGATCATCAAGTCTTGGTCCGTTTCAAGCTTGCGCGTATTCGGGTAAGAAATCTGTATCAGACGGCCTCTTCTTAAATAGATTACACTTTTGAAAAATTTCTTTTTGAAAAAGTAAGTAGTGTTTGGTTTTTTTTTATGTGTGTGTTTAATGGGCTGTCTAAAATGAAGATGGAAAGATGAAAAATAAGACAGAATGAGATTTGTCGGTTCTTCTTCTTTTATCTTTGTTCAGCAGACTGTCAAAAAATTGCTAAAATAGCAGCAAAATCATCACAGGTTTATAGCCTACCAACGATTTGGAAATTTTTTTAGCACAATGATTTAGAGTGACATGATATTAAAGATGAAAATAAAGATGAAATGAAATCTGTCAGAAGACAGCCCTTTCATAATTAGATAACATTTTTGGAGATTTTCTTTTTTATTTTTTGTTGACAAGTAATGTTCGATTTTTTTTTTTGCACCTTTTGTTTTTGGTTCAAGTGGTTGTCAAAAATGAAGGCGAAATGAGATTTGTCGGTTCTTTTTTTTTTTTCATTTTTCCTTATTTTTGTTTAACTAGTTATCAAAAAAATACTAAAATAGTCAAAACCATTGCAGGTTTTTACCTATCAATGACTCATAACCTTTTAAGCACAACGATGTGGAGTGACGTGTAATTAAAGATGAAAATGTAATGAGACCCCCTGGAAGACGGTCTTTTCATATATAAATTATTTTTTTGAAGAATTTGTTTTTGAACAAGTAGTGTTTGCTTCATTTTTTTTTTGGTTAAACGAGCTATCAAAAATGTATATGGAAATATAAAAATGAAGACAGGATATGGTCCGCATGTTTTTCTTTTTTCTCTGGTTCAATGGATTGTTAAAAATACTAAAATAGTAGCCAAAAATATTACTGAGTTTTAACTTCTCAAAGACAATTCTCAATTATTGCATGTTTTGTGATGACAATCAATAAGAGCCATAGTCCGTCACAATCGCAGGGGGTCTATTTTTACGTCGTCCAGTCTTTACGCATAGCCAACTATACACAGTTCTTTTGAAACTCAAGTCAAGAAAAAGTCTTATTTGTAACAAAGATGTTGAATTCTGTACTCGCACGATAAATGTGGTTTACAAGGAAGCCCTCGAGAATATGTGAAATTATTGTGATAGCTTTCACTACTATTTTTTTTTCCTTTTTGTTTTTTTGAAATAAGATCACAATATGTGTGTTTTTTTTTTCCATATTACCCGTTTTACACAACACTCGCATTTTTATCATCGAGACATTATTTGAAAAGAAAATAAACGATATCTTTACTGTATTATCCTTCATAGAAATATTTATATTTTTCCTACAGAGTTAACATTGATGACATATTTTGAAGATTAAGATCGACCTCCACCGTACAACGCACGGACACAACCCTACTATATAATCAAAGGAGCAGTATCTTGTGAAATCTTCGTAGGTTATGTATTTTCTTGTTATGTTTAATCTCAATCACGTGGTCATGATAAAACTTGGTCGATAATTCTTGTAAATATAATAGTTTAATATTTTTTCACTATTAGCCTCCTTCTTAAAAAGAAAAAAGAAAGAAGAAAATTATAGTTCAATCGACTTGTTTAATGAACATATTAATCTCACTAATTGTATTTTCTATCTAAAATATATTCTCAAAAGTTACTTCATATTACGTTTTAAAAAATATCTATGATATTTAATTCTTAATTTAATGTTTCACTTAACCATTATTTATGTAAAGAAAAAATGAAAAGTTTATACAATAGTATCTCTAAATTTATATTACTTTTATTTACCTAATTAAACCAGTTGTAAATGAGGATACATGCAAGCCTCACGCGTTAGTTGTTTTCCAACCTTAAACACATTCTCGAAAGCAATTTCTGTTATAAAATATAAGATTTGATCGAATGCTCACAACTAATTTTCATTATTCTTTCCGATCTCCGATAATATTTTTAAAATATCTTTTATGTCATTCTATATAATTAATTAAGTGTTTTCACTCATCCCACAACTTATATAAATAGATGGGTTACAAATTGCCCAAAACACGTATCAATAGAAGAGAAACTCCCTTCTCATATACTCTTTACACTTAAATTTTTGTCTTCTTTCTTTATTATGATATTTTTATAATACGTTATCAGCAATAGTCTCCAACCACAATAAAACGGTTTATCATGAAGTTCAATTGTATGACTTAAAGTGTTATGAATGGAGGAAAAAATAAATCTTAAAATGTTCATACTTGGTTTGCATGCATATGAAAAAATTGTTAACATTCAATTTTTAGATTTCTAATGTTTTTAGTACAATTTTTCAACTCAATATTAACTAGTATATTTCTTTTAGTTGCATGAATTACAATCTCATTCTTTATAGTTGTAATGTAGCATGTCATAAATTTGGGTGGAAAGTGAATTAGTAAAGGACGATGGGTGGTAGCATTTTGTGATGCAGCTAAAAACACTGGTGCAAAAAAAATAAATGGCAATTTGACATCCACCATATTTAGGTGAGCAAATTTGAAGGAAATGACCACCATTTAGGTGAATTTTTTTTTTTTTTGGGGTTTATTTTTCCATTCCTTGTAAAAAAAAAAATTTTCCTTTTTCGTGGGAAAGGAAAAGCAGGTTGAGAATTAGTACTACGATTTACGAAAGGGAAAAGAGGGTCCACCACATGAAGATGAAGATGAACCCCGGGAAAATCATGAATTAAAACGAAATTGTTGAGGTTGGGTGGCCCAATAGAATCGCCAAAGTATCAGAATCTCTCCCAGATTTTACCAGTATCATTTTACCACCCCCTTCCCATAGGAATGAATATTATAGGATCAGTCCTTCCTTCAATTTTGTGGCATGGGTTCACAATTCATCATGCCTAATTCCTGTGGTCAAGAAATTGGCACAAAGGCAAAGTACACTAACCGGGATGCGGGGTTGATTGATTCCCCATGTGATTCAGAGATAGCATTGCAATTGCCCTTCATTTTTGTTTTCGGGGAAATGGGAAGGGTGTTTGATAAGTATTTGTTTACCTCCACCCCACCAGTGAACACTGAACACACAAAATGCCATTTCAATTAATTAAGATCCATGCATGTTTCAATTGCCTTAATCAATAAAAAAAACTGACCCGTGTTAATCAAACAATATACAAAACCAAATAAGAATATGCTATTTCTTTGTGATATCTTGTATGCCAAAATCAAGGAACTGTTGAAAATCTCCATTTGCGCATGATAGATTGTTTGGCATGATGAAAACTGATTTCTGGGTTGTGTTCGGCAAATATGGATTATGAACAGTGGTTTGAAACATATTTATACAAGTTAAACCGATATTGACAATATCATTAGTTTTGCTTTTTATTTTTCTTTTAAAAAAAAAAAATTTTGAATTTTGAATTATTTACTGTAACTTGGTTAATTTTTTAAGTTACTGTGGATCCAAAGTTAAAAGTGCAACATAATTACTATTTACTGTGTACTTAAAGTAAATAGTAAATAAAAAAGTAATTTTAAAAATAATGATAAATTTTAAAATTGTACATAATATTTTTAATTAATAAATAATATTTTAATAATTAAATAATGAAATTTGAATTTTAAAATATTTTTAATGATTTAAATTTTAATAAAAATTTAAATTAAATTAAAAGACAAAAATACCCCTGATTCCGGCATGTCAACGGCCGGAAACAGTAAAATGGGACCAAAAAAGTGTGAAAACATAATGTTTGGGACTACGATATTGAAATGTTAATATAAGATACGTAAATTCAAGTAGACCCAAATGTAAGGGACCATTTGGATATTTTAGGTTTTGATATATCATAATGATTTTTTTTTTTCAATTAGTTCTTATTAGACGGGTGTAAATTTGGGATCATAATAATCTTCAACCTGGGTTAAAAGGTTCAAGTAGTGGTCGTTTTGAACTATTAAGGTTTCACAACCATTTTCTGATCATACAAAGTGATATTTTATGACACGCATGACACGCATAGAAAGAAAAATAAAAAAGTGAAAAAACATTAAGAAGATTTTGGTGGAGAGTCTTGTGCCTGCAAATTCCAACCAAATAAAATAATAAGCACGAAATGAGCTAATTTTAATAAGTTAAACAAAGATTTCCGAGGCTTAAATATGTCAAAATGCGTCAAATGGCGTGATAAGGTGACTCGAAGCAGGCCTCTCTCGACATATACATTTCATCACTTTTTTAATTAATTAATCAATATAATTAGTTCAAAACAAAAAGGATGGACCATACAGTACACACAGAAAAGCCAAAAATTATAAAAAAAAAAAAAAAATTAAATAAAGAGGCGACGTTTCGATACTTTGCCCATGGATCTTATTAAAACATCAACTAACTCGAAGTCTAGAAAGCTTCCCTTTTGCTCTTCATTATTGCTTTGATCAGTCCTAAAAGCATCCATTTTCCCAATAATCATGACATTTGATTAATTGGTAATTACTAGCAAATTTGTACTTTTCTCCAAAAAGAATGTAATTTCAAGGTTTATGCAAAAGTTATGGGGAAAGCAAGCAAATGGATCAGAAACTTCTTACTAGGCATCAAAAAGGATCAAGAGAAGGTCAACAAGGAAGAAAAGAAGGCAGTAAAAAATATCATCAGTTCATCATCAAATAGTGTTCCTGAAGAAGAAGAAGAAGAAGCATCAGAAAGAAGCCCAAACCAGGCCATCTTATCAGTTACAAAAGAGAAGAGAAGATGGAGTTTCAGGAAATCCAGCACGACTACAAACAAAATCACGCAGCGTAACAGATCATTCGATTCGATTTCGACCGTCCGGTTAGTGAAGCAAGTCTTGGAGGAGCACGAAATCGAACAGATTCGGATTAAAGCTCATGTGCTGGTGAAATCTTGCAATGAAGTTAAGGGAAGAAGTAGTAATATTGCACCATTTGCTACTAATAATAATGCGAAATCGCAAGCTGCCATCATAATTCAATCCGCATTTCGCTCATATTTGGTACGTGTAAAATTTCTTCCGTACCATAATAATAGTCCGAAATTGTTCTTTTATTCATTAAATTTTACTTTCAATTTAGAATGTTAGAGTTATATTTGTGTGTATAATAGTATGTCCTATATAATTATTTCACGAATTATTACACTCTATTCATTAATTCACGCTTTTTATTGTTAACTCGCAGGCGAGGAAGGCGTTGCGAGCTTTAAGAGCCCTTGTGAAGTTACAAGCCCTAGTAAGAGGTCATCTAGTCAGAAAACAAACAACAGCCGTACTAAGAAGTATGCATGCTTTGATGACTATTCAAGTTAGAGCTCGCTACAAGAGAGTCCAAATGGTGGAGACCGGATCAAATCCTGAAACTTTGTACAACAAATCACACAAAACGGTAACTGTGATTTAATGTCATTCCGTTCAGTTTTTCCATTTCAGAAAAATAGATCAAGTTTTTGTAAAAATATTATAGAGAGTTGACCACACGTACATTTGATTTTCTTTTTCGATGTGATTTTAAAATTTTCCTCAGGTTTACTAAATAGACTTATAAAATTGTAGGAAAAATCAATTGATCATGAAGGAAGAAAAAGATTGGAGGGCAGAAGCGGATCTTTTGATCAATATTCCAAAGTTGAAACAATGGAACAAGGATATTCGATGAGAAAATCATCGTGTAATGGAGAAGGTCATCAGGAAGAAGATGTCAAAACTTGGAGTCCGTCAGCAATATTCAATGATATAATAATATCCTCAAAAGACAACAATAATGGCAAACACAAAGGAACAAATTTGCCGGCAGCATTGAGTTCTTCTACTAGTCATAATTATCATCATCCAAGTTACATGTCCAACACACAATCTTCAAAGGCAAAAGGAAGAATTAGGTCACAAAGTGAACCTAAACAACGTCCCAAAATTGGGACAACCCAAAACCAAAAGAGCCGGCGATCAATGTCTATAGAAAACCAGCAACCATGGTTGATTAAACTTTATCGGTCTGCAAGACCACTCAAGGATGCAATCTAGCTTAGCTAAGACTAGACACACCTTTTTCACTGTGTGACATGATTTTTTTTTTAATTATTAGTATCATTATAATTTTATCGGATGTAACGTACAATCTATTTTTTTAATTATTAATTTGCATTGAGAAACCCCGTTGTTAATCCATTTGGGATACCAGAGTTAGTCAACTTGCTTGGGATACCCCGTTTTTGGTCTGATTTAGCTTTTAATAATCTTACCTATCTTATAATTAAGGTGGCCAATAATAATTGCAAATGAAGGAAAATAAAATTTGAGTATGTAAAGAAAAGCGTAGAGTTTTGTCGGTAGAAGTTCGCAGTCTGTATTGACTTTCAGTAGCTACAGACAATTGGAAAGCTGAAAGTGCAATTTATTCTTTACTTCGACCATACCGTATGGTGATATACTAATATAATCTTCTACTACCTCCATTCTTATTTATAAGAGTTTTTGGACATACTTTTTTCATTCATTTTTGTAAAAAGTTTTATATTTCCAAAAAAACAATTAATGACTTTTTTCTCCCTTTACCCTCACTACTAATCAATTCAAAATTAATTTAACCACTTCATTAATATTATCAAGGACAATTTGAAAAATTTATAATATTTTTAAAACAAAAAACTAAATTTTATTAATTTTAATGGTTTATATAAAGTTAATTAACTCCATCTTATAAATAAGAATGGAGTAGTATATCCCTAAAACCCTTCTGGCATCGATTTTGATAATAGACATGTTAAAAGGATGGGATTTCCAATGGTTCTGTCCTCTACGTACAGTGAATCTTTCCTGCTGGAATAACTTTTTTATACACAAAATAGATTGTGGAAAAAAAATCCACATGAATACGGGAAAATGAAAAGGAAAAATACTATCCATACCTATAATTATGGCCAATAACTTTCAGAACATCTGAAATTAGAAAAGGCTAGGTTTAGATGGACCAAGTCAACAACCTGTCGAACTCATTAGGTAAACATTTTTAGTCAGACATGAACAGAGGCAGATTCTTAAAAAAAAACTCTGTTTCTGGGAAAAACAACAACAACAACTCATTGTTCTGTCACCGATACAATAGTTTATTATGTACAGAAAAAAAAAAATGGAAGTCAAACAGCTTTATTATAGACAATCCTGTTAAATCAAGAGAACTGCCCCGATGCAGTTAATGTTCAAATACATTAGACCTTACAAAGAGAAACGATAGTTAATTAAAGGGCCATTCCTGAACAGAGCAATCATGGAGAACTCCAGAGTAATGAAAGCCGGAGATGGTCCAAATAGCTACTTCAGAAACTCCAAAATCCAGGTTTGAATTTGACGTTTTGGGTTTCGTTTTCATTTTCATTTCCTAAGTTATGCCTGCAATCATTCTTCAGTTTCCATGGAAAAATGAATTTTGAACTGAAATGAGAGTTGCAGGGGAATGCCATAGACCAGACAAAGAGCTTGCTGATTGATGGGATTATTGATTTACTTGAGTTACAGAAAGATCTGAAAGTCTTCTCCATAGCAGACTTAGGATGTTCAGTTGGCCCCAACACATTCAAATCCGTCGACGCCATAATCGACGCTGTAAAGCACAAGTGTGGAACAGAAGACTCTGTTCCAGAATTCCATGTCTTCTTCAATGATTTGGTTGGCAATGATTTCAATACGCTGTTCAACGCTCTTCCACACGACAGACAATACATGGTGGCCGGAGTTCCGGGTTCTTTTCATGGCCGCCTTTTTCCTAAGTCATCAATCAACCTGATGAATTCGAGTGCTGCTGTTCATTGGCTGAGTAAAGTCCCTGAGGTTGTAAGCGCTAGGGACTCTCCTTTATACAACAAAGGGAGAATCACGTATGCGAGGAGTTCTTCCCAAATCGTTGAAGCATTTAGAACACAATTTTACTGTGATATGAAAGATTTCTTCAATGCGAGGTCAGAAGAACTTGTCCCTGGTGGAATTTTAGCCATTCTCATGCCCTGTAGGCCACAAGGCACTTCGCCTTCTGAATCGATGTCAATACGAGTCACTGAGTGCTTAGGTGATACACTTGTCGATATGGCAAACGAGGTATCTAAGTTTATTACTCTCTCCGTCCCAAAATGATTGTCTTCTTTGATTTTTTAACTTTTCGAAACTAAAAATGAAAATCCTGGATAGTCATTTCGGGACGGAGGAAGTACTAGTGCATTTAATTTATGTCGTCATTCCACTAATCTGACATGATATGGTAATTGCAAATTTTTTGACGGGGTGGGTGATCTATTTGATGCAGGGAATAATAAACGAAGATCTCATTGATTCTTTCAACTTGCCCTTGTTCTTCCCAATGGCATCCGAAATGGAGGAAATTGTGACCTCAAGTGAAAATCAATTCATCATAGAAAAACTAGTGGAGCAACCAGTTGCAATAAATTTAATAACCTATGATAAGGATCAATATTCTTCCCAGATGAGAGCAGTGGTGGAATCTGTTTTCTGCCAAAGATTCAGTCCCCAGGTTGTTGATGAACTCTTCAGAAGATATCCTGAGAAGCTTCGAAATTTAGTGGAAATTCCCCATTTTGCTCAGACACAGAACTGGCGAAAGTTATTCATACTGCTCAAGCGCAGAGGTCTTTCACCGTAGAGATGAGACTTAAAAAAAAAACAAAAAATTTTTATTACCAATTTCTTATGAGTTTGATATCAGAAAAATTAGTATGATACTATTGGATAAGTAATTTTGTGGAATAAGAGGATTCATATCTTGTTTGTTGATTACTATTGATTAACTTCATTTTTTTTAGTTGAGCCATCTAATCGTGTTAAAAAATAATTATCACTATTTTATGGAGATACTCCCTTCATTCCAAAATAAGTGTCGTTTTAACAAAATAGAGAAATTCCAAAATAAGTGTCGTTATCACATTTCAATGCACTTTTTGTAAAAAATTTCCAAAATTGTCCTCAAAAGAGTTGGTGCTATTGGCGGTCAATTTTATAATGGGGTTGGTTGAGGATATTCAAGTAATTTTAATTCCCTATTTAAGAGTTTCTTAAACTATGTGCAAAGTGTAGGACGACACTTATTTTAGAATGGGGGGAATACAATTTAGCGTATATATACTTAATACTATTATTATAACGATAAAGAATTTATTAATAAGTTCAGACTGAACTCTGAATGGTGTGATTTCAGGGTTCAGTCATTTGCTTTTCTTTTTGAGATGTAAGTTCAGACTTGAAACACATTCAGAATCTTGGTGCACACATTTGAAAAAACTCACCCTGTTAATTTTTTTTTTTTTTTTTGGTGAATATCCTGTTAATTTTTTTATTAAAAAGAAAAAAAAAAAGAAGTAAGAAAATCAGGCAGTAAGAAAATCAGGCAGTAAGAAAATCAACCTTTTTAATTGCCACGTAGATTCTAACCCAACGAACTCCAAATTCATTTTCCACTCCCAAGACGACCAAGACCCACTGTCGGACTCCGAAAAGGCGGACATCGCACCAAAAGTGGAGAAGTCGGGCTTCTCCGCCTCGCCTTCACTCTCCGATCACCGGAACTGCCAACTTTCAGTCCGAAGTGTTCGCCAATCATAAACTCCATCAGTCTGCAAACGCGAGAGGTTCAAGATCTCCGGAATCGGAACCACCCGGTGTCGAAGAAGAACATAATATACAACGGTCAATTAAGGAGGGCGGGTCAACTAAGGAGGGCGTCATCATCGATAATTCTGAGCAATTTCTGCTGATTTTCTAGGTAACTCTTTACTTATAATCAATTATATTTCCCTATTCTTCATTTATCAACTTTGTATATAAACCTGTATAAAATGTGATTTCCGGACTTGTTTATCGTTGCGGGTGTGGGTATGGATCTATGGGTCCTGTATCGAATAAGGAAGCTGGTTTAATAATGATATTTGGAATTTTTATGCTATCAATCTCTTCCGGCGATAAACCGGCCATAGATTTGGTGTACCAATTTTTCAGGTCGACTCTATTTTGCATGTACTATTAAAGAGGGAAAATTTGCTGGCTTGGTTATCTTCTTTCCTTTAGTCTAAACAATTGAACTTATCTGCTAAGAAGAATGATGTAGTTTGACACCTTGTGCTGGCCTTATTTTACTGTTTAAAAATTTGTATACTTGGCATCACATCACATGTAACCACATTTGCCTAGATAATGAGAGAAGACGAATCTTTGAGTTAGACTAATGGATCTCGTATGGAGGAGGACATGCATTTTGATAAATTGGTTCCAGTATGCCTACAGAATAGTTGAACTCTACAAAAATTATAGTCCCTTTGTCCCAAAATTATTCTCCAGTTTGGATTTTCTGTTTTCGTTCAATTTGTACTAGAAATGAAAATCCAAACTGGATAATAATTTCGGGACGGAGGGAGTATGTTGAAATTAGATTGTAACAGGATTTACATGACATTGTTTATTTAGAAGTTGAAGTATACATGATACCAATATGTTGCAGAGGCTTGGTGAGTGAATAGAGGAGAGCAGAGGGAAAATTGCTGAAGCAAGTAACGTATGAAACAAAGCCAATAAAGAGAGGAAAAGAAGTGTAAACACTAGCTGTTCCTATTGTGTTAATTGTCGTTAATTGCATGTTAAAGTATGAAGCTGATTGACTACTGATATTATTGTAACTCTTGGTCATTTGATTGCTGGAATTAAAATAGAAAGAGGAAGTGATAATGATGTTGTTAAATCCTCTGTTTCAGTTTATTTGCTAATTGTGCAAGTAGATGAGAAATGGGATAAATATAGAGAAGTACGCCATGTTAAATCTTTGGTTCATGGATTGCATGCAATGTTAGTTGCTGAAAAATGTTTCTGGAACATGGATGATGAATCTTTGATGATATAGGAGTCATGATTTGATTTAGAAATGATTGTATCTTGTGCATGTTTAATTAGTATTTTCTGAAAATTGCAGAAAACCAGATTTGAGTCCCTCTGTTGTCAGGCCTATATCTCCTAGGTCCTGAACTCTTTTTCGGATTTTCTTTTTATGAAACTACTCTTCATTCAATGCATTTTGATATGGTTTTTACGGATTCTAAAACGGACTTCTAGTTTGTCCAGAAATTTAATTTGAACATGACAGGATCATTCCTGAAAAATGCAGAAATTGCAGAACAGATACCTTCTGTTTTTAGGCCAATTTCTCTCAGGTTTTAAACTCTTTTTCAGATTTTCTTTTTGGAAAACCTTTCTATGTTTAGTGAACTTTAATGTCGGTTTTACGGAATATTAAATGGACTTACGGTTTGTCCAGAAGATGAGTTTGAACTTGATCTAACAGTTCTGAAACTTTCTGTCCAAATAAAATCTGCATTTAGATATTGTCTTGATGGATCTGTTTTCCATGATTTCTAAACTTCCTTTTCTGATTTCTTTTGATAAAATCATTCTCTGTTTATTGAAGTTCAATGTTGTTTTTGATATGTTGCTGAAACGATTAATAGTTTATTCGAAAATGACCTTTGGAAAACTGCCACTATATCACATAGTCTGAAAATTCAGAATTTAGGATTTTAGAGGTTTACATTGAGTAGCAACTTCTCTTTGACCTCAAACCTTTTTCTAATGAAACTTGTCTGTGTTCTTTCTTTGTCCACTGAGGTATATTGTATAGGTCATGGACTCCAAAAATGATTCCACAATCTCTTCATACGACATTTAGAACTTGGAGAGAATGAGAGTTGATTGTCGGTGTGAGTGTTCCTCCTGGGACTTGCATGTGATTGCCTCCCCTTTGTTATGCCTAAATGTAAAGAATGTATATTCCTTAATGGAGTCTTCCTACTTGTTAAATGTTGTTACTATTTCAATTGATACACGAATGAATGCATGTTAATGTGCGACCCGGAAGTGTACTTTATCACTGACGGGATAAATGACTTTGTGCAATGACTGAGAGTTATATGAATTGATTGTGCTGATGTGCTTGAGTGAAAATGTGAATTGTTCGTGCCAATGTGCTAATGTGATTGTTGTACCAATGTGCTAGATTGAAAAGGTGACTGTTTGTGTCAATGTGCCAGAATGATGTTGTGAAATGTGTATACTTATTAAATTGGCAATGTGAAAAAGTGATTCGGATAATGATACCGTGGGTGTACTTTATCACCCTAATGGAATGAAATGTATTGATTGATTGTGTTGGATGATTGAATGTTTATGTATGTTTGTTGCTCGAGTTGACTAATGTCTCTCGAAGCCTGGGCCCTTTGCCTTGGTTTGTGCGAAGCCATGCGTGTCGGCATTGGGCTTGGACGTTATGGTTACCCGCCTCGGCCAGTGTTGGTTCTCATGAGTATCTAGTGGTGGCGCAAGTGTTGGCCACGGGGGAAACAAGGTTCGAATGATGGCGCTATTGTTGGCCACAAATGTAATGTTAATGAAATGGAATGAATAAAGTAAATGTATAATGAAAAGTTGAATTTGTTGTTTGGAATCCCGTTTTTGTGCCACATAGGTCCTGAACGGCTCCTTACTATGGTTCCCTGTATCCTTCCTTTATTTGAATGATGGCCCTGGCCGGGTCAATGAATGTTTTAATGAATGTTTCATTGAATTGATATGATGGTAATGCTTAACTTAATGTTATGGAATTATAGATTGATTGTTGCTTTTTGAGTTACTTGTAAACAATTGAATGTGCTTGAATTGCATGTGTATAGATTAATAGGTTAGGATAGAGAGGACCTCACTGAGCGCTAGCTCATCCCTCTATGTTTTACCTTCCCCGTCCCAGGTTAAAAGGCGAGCTCGGCAGTGAATTGGATACAGAATGGAATTCACTATGCGTATAACCTCAGTTAGTGTTTTGTAAACTCTGAGCTAATGTATATATTTTGATAGTGGCTCTTTGCAAAGAGTATAGTTATCGTGTAAATTTAATAGTTAATAATAATATATTTTGTAATTTGTATCTGTTCCACGGCGCCTTGAGCGAGAGATCGCTCGGCGGGCGGCCTTAGAGTTTTGAGCTCGTTTTAATTTGAGCTCGAATTTCAGGGTCCTCACACTGTATGTCTGGAAGATTGGGAAATTTGGGAGTATTTGCCCTGCTACTTAAGCGATGGATGCTCTGATCATTTTTAGCTAGTTCTATTCGAAGATAAATCCCGGTTTTGATCCAATTGAATGCGTGGGTCTTTATTTTTAATTTTAGAATGGCTCATGTGCGGAACTTGTCATTTTCTTGAACTCTATCTGCTATTGACAGTTGATTCTTGTCTTCTTTTACACTCCTCATCTGCATTCTGATTATTATGCATATTTGGGAGGATTCTTTAGGTCTTCCTGTTTAAGTTTTTTTTCTGCATAACTTCTTCGCTTGATGTATGCGTACTCTGTTCCTTCACATGATCCTACTCTTTGCCAATGTTCGATTCGCTCTTTTCTTTTTTTTCCAATTTTTGTGTTGAAACATCTTTGGGAGGAATCTTGAGGTCTTCCTGTTTTAAATTCTTGTCTTTGTCTGCATAACTTCTTCTTTTGACGTATGCATACTATGTTCCTTTATATGATCCTACTAGCCATAACACATTGTTTGTTACAGTTGCCAAGATTTGGATCTTCAATCACCTCTCCCTTCATACCTGCCTGCGTCTCATTTAGTTTAGGTGGCCATATTTCTCGATCGACATGGACACAGCATCACAGGCAGATTCTGGGCAACACACTGAGACCCTTACTATTCCAATGTCGTCATCATTGCCAATTTCTTCTGCTGCAGAAACTAGGAGCACAAGGCCGCTTTCTGGGTTGGGAGCAACTCACCAAGGTTTCATGGGAAAACACAGAATGGCAGCAGCCATAGCCTATCTTGATCAGCAGATCCAAATTATCCAGGAAGAAATTGACCAACTGGAAACCCTTGGTGAATCTTCTATCGTTTGCAAAGAGCTCTTAGCTGGCATCGACTCAATTCCAGATGCTTTACTCCCCGTGACTAAAGGTCCAGTGTCAACGGATTGGGAGAGATGGTTTCAAGGTGGCCATGGCTCCAGAAATCGCAAAAGATGGATTTAGTCAGCAATTGTTTAGTGACAAAGGTAAGATGGAAAGGAGCATAGAAGGTTTGTTGGCCATTTTTAGGGCCATAATTGTTCTCACGGTATGGATGGTCTGCTGATGTTTTCTGTTGGCCTGTATCCATTTGTTTTCATTGAAAATGAAAAGCGTCATTTGATGTAAGCTTCAATTGCCAGTTACAACTTCGATACTGCTGTCAATATGTACCCAGTAAGCTATTGAAAATGCTAGGCTATGTTTTGCAATTCAAGGAGTCTGAATATGATGAATATTACTCCTTCCGTCACATAAAAGCTCGTTGACTCTCTATGGGACGGAAGGAGTACACTCATTTTTTGCTTCAAAAGATACGCATGATAGCTGTACAATATTAACAACTATTACATTAGATACAACGACTTGCTTCAATAGCTATAGTAGTCATCTATGAATTATTTGTGGTCTGCAACCTTTCACCATCAATCTTCACTTTGACATCACACATGAAGCATAATCAACATATATTTACATAGATTATGTACATAGGCTTACTAGCTAGATTCTACTAATAGATGGAGCAAAATCCTTTTCTCTTGCCTCCAAATTTTCGACTTGAATAGAGGAACAGGCTAGTTTTGGTTATTGGAAATAAAACTAGCCAGCTAAAACCAAGAACTGGGAGATGAAGAGCCCAAAAAGCGAGACTCCATAAATGGTCCAGTAAACTAGCTTATAACATGGAGAGGAGAACATAGACATGGCAAGAAAAAACGTAGTGACAGCGAAGAAAATCCCAAGGTTTTCGAAGAAAATTCGCACCATCTCTAAATCCTGGGATATGAATAGGGATAGGGAGAGCATAGCAAAAGAAAGTGTAGTAGTAAGGCAAGAAAAGTGGAAGGAATTTGGAACATGGTCAAGATTCTGGATTTCTAACATAGGTATACTTAGAGATGCAAAGCAGAACTCCATAACTTGGATTAGGCGATCTAGATCAGCAACGCGAGACTGTTGTAGTACTTCTTTACGCAAACGTGATTCCAACATTTCTTTGTATGTGTGTGAGAGGGGTATTTGTGAAGAAATCTGATGTTTGCGATTTTTCTCTTTATGTAGGTAGGGAAATTGCTGGCTGAGCTACCATTTATATAGAGTGAACCTACGTTCTAAGTTTATGTTCTTCACGTTTTAAAATCACAAAAAAATCCTCTAACTTCATTCTAAGGTTCAAATTCCCTCCCTAAAATTCAAGAAGTTTAAGTTTCAACCCCAATCTCGATAATTTGATTTTATCTGGTCCACCTAACTATTTTTGTTCAAACTATGAGATCATCTATCAGAGCTTGTGTGGATGAGGTTTTAAATATGTCTGGGCTAGGTTTTTTACGAGAGATACATAGATGAGAAAAATAAAGTGACTTGAAAACTGATTCACTATGTGTATACACCAGAATTATTATAAAATCGCAAGTGAGATGTTAACTCGACTAATTACAAGCATAATAAAAACATCTGTGATAAGAATGAACCTTTTAAAACTTTTGAGAGACACTCAAACCTTGGAGTAAAGTTTGAGGGTAATTAACGTAATTAATCATTTTGGAAAGGTAAGGTAAAAAGTTTATAAAAATATGTGGAGAAAAGTTTGAGGAAATGAGCATAAAGTTTGCTAAAAACCTAACAAACGCACAAATCAAGTAGTACTACATAACTTCGTCATCCAGTGCCAGTTGTCGGAAATTCTCCTCTTCCATTGGTGGAAATGAAGCGAAGGTCAAATTTGGTGTAAACTCTCCGGAGTGAAACTTTATTCTGTCATCAACTAACCCCCATCACATCAAAAACTCTTCTTTATTTTATTAAAAAAAAACAAAGAAATAAAAAACGAAATGTTACTGGCTGATTCAAGCTCCATGAAGATTTGGTGCTAAAATGTGGTTAATCGTAGGTCAATAAATATTCAAAAGAAATCAATATAGTCACCTTTTGAGGGGGAGTAGGATTAGTAAGACTTTTTCTTCTTACTTTTTTTTCCTTTTTTTTTTTTTAGGGTTCTAAGAACATCACTTTGTTAAAACGGAATTTGATATTTTCAGAGAGCCCATTTGTTGTTGGTTTATCTGAGTATACTATGTGGGGTTGGAATTCTTCATTCTGGTTAATTTTTGGTATGCAGATTTTGGATTTGTGTTCCTTTTCTTTTACAATTATGTTTTTCTGTTTTTATAGTTGCTACAAGACGATATAAATACACCCCAGGCACCACCTTCCGATCCTCTGCGTCTCCGCCGACCCCAAAAAAGCAAAAAAGTAACACAAAACACAAAAGGGGAATAAAAAAAAATGTGGCAAAGAAATTTGACGCCACATTTTGTCATGGTTCAAATCAAATGTCACCTTCACTGACGATATAAACCATTGATAAATCCACTTGGAAGACAATATTTTAGTTCTTTATTAGAGATTGTCGACTTCTTGGTACTTTGGAGTGAAATTTACATAGTAAATTTGGTCAATTTACTTGGACGAAAACCTATCAAATACGCTTGAAATCGCTTGCGTCGCTCTATTTGGTTCATTTTTCATTAGGTTTTTTCAAAAAAAAATAAAAAATAATTATTAATAAATATCTCATTCCAACATATTTATTTTATATTTAAGTTGAGTAAAATGCTCCTAAGAAGCTTTTTTTTTTTTTTTTTTTTTGGGGTACAAACCTAAGAAGCATTTTGGGTTCAGAGGAGTTGGCCAAAAACTCCTCCGTCAAACTCAAACTCGGATATCAGCATAAACAAATTTCTCTGTAAAACCTTGGAATATCAATAACTTCCTAGAAATTTTCAGTTCTGACAAGTTGTATCCAATCCCAACAAACAAACTTTAACCTATAAGCCAACACTAATTCTTTTCATTCACTCGGATGCATACGCAAACATGCAAGCGATCACTTCCTACTTCCTAGTTCATACAACAACATATTTGTAACTCTCTACACTATTCCGTTTCCGTCCCACCGTAAGAGTCCAGGTTGTTATAATGAAAAAGCACAACAAACGAACTCTTATGTTGGGATGGAGGGAGTATATATGAGAATGAATTATGCTGGGACGGAGAGAATATATACGAGAATGGATCACTTTCCACTATCAGTGCAATTTAGAGCAGAATTTAGCCTCTTCCATTTAACATAGGAGGGACGGCGAGGATGAAAGTTCATAATGTTATACTACTATTAAGATAGTCATTGTGCAGGAACGATCGATGTTGGCCTCCAATGCCGAAATCAGGAAAGAAACAGAGAATTAAGTTTCTGCTTTCAAGCAACATAGCCTAACAGCCTGATAGTTACCATCATTTAAGTATGATGCCTAAGATTTTGAGTTAGCTTACTGCTTACATACATCTTACTGTCTACGAAGAGTATTATACAAGTTCCGCCTACTACTCAACCTAAGCCTTCTATATTCTGCTTATACCTCGTGAGAAAGGCTAAGAAACCACCAGATCAATGGTGACAACTACCGTTTCGATTGGTTGGCAAATCAAGGGTTGATCTACCAGCTGGTTTGCAGTGCTTTCCTTAAAACTCTTTGTCAACCAAATGGCGGTGTCCCTAGGGGACACTTTTTTCGGACCAAATGGTTACAATATGACAGAAGGTTCTTCAAACCTTTCCTCTTGCAACAGTCTGGCACTAAATTCAAGCAATCCTTCTGGTTCTTCAGCTCTCTAGCTGCCGATGTGATGACATGCCAAAAGTGTCAGCGCCTTAGGTCTGATGATATCCGGCTTGAAGCCCCACCCCCCTCAGTAGCATTTTGGTCAGAAGATTCGCTGGCAACTCCCCAATACATGACAAGTTTATTTTCTTGTTCAAATAGTTGCAAGCATACGAGGAACCTAAATATCTATGGAAGTGATTTTTCCAGAACCTCCTCTCCTTCAACTTCTGGGTTGCTGCCTGATCACTTTGAGGTAGAACCGTGAAAGTTTGCAAAATCTTTCACTGAGACTGATGAAGGTAGTACAGAATCATCGTCGTATGAACATAAAGCGATTTCAACAATCCTAGCAACATGGGGGTATATAAAAATCTGGTGATTTAATGGAGTCTAGTAAAACGAGACTAGGCCTTCGACCTGATTCCCAAACTTCACCTCTAACTGAGGAATAGCCCACCAGGAAGTATGTAGACAGGAACAGAGAAAAAGAATAGCCAACAGGAAGTTATGTCAATTACAGAACTTAAAAAATTGAGACTTCCACCAGATGCTTGCTGATGTATTTGTACAATTCTCAAGTATTAAAGCCATCGTATGGTAGAACAAAGAGTAACTACTAATTCTGGACATAACAGCATGATTTCAGTTATAGTTATGGATGAATCATGAATGCCATACAAAGTGGAGTGGACTAATGTGAACTGATATTTGCGAGATGAATATTATTACCTGAAAAGGTTATATAGCTCAGATTAGCTGTCTTTTCCCTTATTCGTTTAAACTGTGTACACTTGAGCTATCGTCTCAATATCGAGTCCTCTCAGTCTCACAATTTCAGTATGTCCGATAGAGAGTTCTTCGTCCATGTTTGGTTCTCCACATCCAATGAGGTTGACCCTGAGATGATCATTTGAGAGATCGCGCTGAAGTTCCAGAATTTGTGTGGCAGAAGCCATGGCGGAAGAGCTACACCATTTCATCTCAATCAACTTCAAAGTAGAAATTTCTCCTACGGAAGAAGGGATCTCCTCCAGCTTCTCACAGTTCACTATTACCAGTTGCTCGAGGGATGGAAGATGATCGGAATCAGAGACGTCCCATTCGTCAACATCTAGAGATTCTAGCTTCAAGAACTTCAGTTTTGGGAATTCGCCAGTTCCCGTAAACCATTTTTGACCCTGAAATGCCTTGTTGAGTAGTTTCAGGACTTCAAGATTCCGCACCATCTTCCCAATAACTGAAATTTGATTCCAGGGCAGTTGCGAATTCGACATTGACAACTTTGTGAGGTTTGATGGGAAACTAAATTTACAGGCACATCGGACCTTCCCATCGAAAAAGATCTTGAGGGATTTGAGTTCAGTCAAATAGTGCAACTCTGGAAAAGTACTACTACCAGCAAACTCGTCCCATGAATTCGCAAAGAATTTGCATCCTAATTTCTGAATTCCATGAAACTTCCTCAAGATGAACTTCTCAACATCGCTCCCACGCCGCAGAAGAAGGCTGGAAATGGACTTCATGTTATCTTTCCTGGAGTAATTGTAAAAGAACTGTTTTTGCTGCAATGTTGGAAACTGAAAAAACCGTGATCTGATAAGAGATGCCCCAAACAGTTTAAATTCCAGACAGATTCCGTTACCTGGATGATACCAATTACTCCAGTTAGAACAAAAGTCTCCAAGTTTTTGGAGGTTGCCTATTTCCTCAGGGAGTTCATTTCCGTAAAGCCGGATAGCTAAGTACTGAAGATGCTCCAGCTCAGCTATCATGACAAGATCCAAAGGGTATGTTCCACTCCCAAATCGAACATTTCCCAAATCCAACACTGTGAGCAGTTTGTACTGCAGAACAAAACCATAAACTAACTGCCTAGGTGGTTTGACTCGTTTAAAAGGGGTGGATAACTTCTGAGACAGTTCCCTGCCAGTAGTACTGATCTTGCTCATCAAAGACAAAACTTGAGAGAACCTACCTGTTGCAGCAGCCAGTCGCATTGAAGAAATGGCGAGTCCTCCTCTAAGAGGGGGGGAGGCTTGTCAGGTTACTATTCGAGGATGCGACCCTACCGTGATAGGAAGTCTGACGATTCCGCTAGGAATGATCGTGTGCCCAGAGAAACGCATTAGTGGTAATGTTGCTGGACGCTAATTTGAATTTTGTATGTTCATCTTCTTAAACCAGTCGTTGTAGATGATGTTGACTGCATTGTCATTATTAACGTACACGCAACTTAAGTGAACGTTTTCGATAATGGCTTCAATGACCATGATATCGCTATGTGGACAGATGCCAGGGACTACGTCATTGTTGGTGAATACTATTGCCTCGGTTCCCTTGAATCGTTTATGGCTAGGCTCTTGGGGAGGAGTTTTAGTTACTTCTCGCACCGATGCCTTCAAAGCTATGGTAGAGAGAACCTCGAGAGACGCACCGTAGATGGTCCCGACATTATGAGTAATTTGCTTAGTAGAATCTAGTGGAAGAACTTGTTGGAGTGGTTGTAGTCCCCCATCTAGCGCCTGTTGGGGAGCGTGTTGCGCATTATTCCTTGGTTGCCAACTGTTTCCCCGGTTATGCACGATATGAACCGCATTGATACAAGCAAGACTGGATTTGGTTTTCAAAAGGGCCTTGGAGAATAAGATCTCCACTGTCTCCACCACCTGGGATTTGTTCCCTGGACAAGAACTTTTCTTCAGAGAGTCTAGCTGTGCAAAATTCTAGCAGCACATCATGAACACGACACACTTTGATTCCACCTCGGGAGCTTGTTCGGGCTACCATCTCAAGGTTTCTGTCAACAAGCTCGTTTAAGTAATCCTCAGCGTTTTGCTCTAAACTGCCCAGCTTATTTATTTGATGTACATATCCTTGAGATATCCATAACCGTATCAACTTTGAGACAGCATTCATATTATTGGTCTTAGGAAATGATCCAAAATAAAGGAAGCACGGCTTCAAGAAATCCGGTAAGTGCTTATAGCTCAGCCAAAATGCGGGTCAATTCCTCCATGCCCAGTTCCTGTCTACGGTCGAATTCCATCACTGATACAGCAACTTCTCTCCAAGAATCAAGATTCCTTTTCGTCCTTTTCAGAATCCCTGCAATAAGAACTACCGCAAGGGGAAGCCCTTTGCAAATCCTGGCGATATTCTTTAAGGTATTCAAAAACTCAGGAGGACAGGGTTGTTGAGGATCAAATACCTTTGACAGTAGTAGTTCACAACTCTCTTCCATTGAAAGCAGCCGGAGGTCGTAAAGAGTGCTATTAGGTCCCAAGGCAACGACACGAAGTCGAGTAGTGAATAAAAATCCTGCTTCCTCGGCTATCATCGGGCAAGATGCGACTCAGCTTGATCCACAACTGATCATCCCAGACATCATCTATCACGATCAGATACCTCCTCCCTTTTAAACAACGGTAAAGCTGTTGAGCCAGGTCTTTTTCTTTGGTTTCCCCCACGATTTGAGCTAAGATCTCGGACAACAGGGCCTCATGTTCATAAGTCTGAGATGCACAACACCAAGCGCGGACACGAAAATAGCTAGTGATTGAACGATGATTATATACTGAATTCACTAGCGTAGTTTTCCCAAGTCCTGGCATGCCTAAGATGGAGATTGTCTTCAGCAACGTTGATCCCTTTGTCAGTAGCTCAATCACCTGTCCCGCTGCATCTTTAACCCCAACAGGTTCATCATCATTCGGATCCTCCATCCTCATCTCAGTACTTTTTTTTTCTTTTCTTTTTTTTTTTTTGGTGGTTCTGAGTTATTTATTTCAAGTGTTGTTTCCGCTTTCAACTCAAAATCTAACTAGTAGGTAATGCCTAATGGGAGAAATCTCAACTCACCACTTTCTTTTTTTCATGGGACTTACAAGTGATGGGAGTATTATATTGCCTAATTGGAGTTTTAAATCTTAAAACACTGGGGAATCGCAGTAGCTTTATTCAAATTCACACTACTTTCAAAACAAAAAATTCAAGTTCACACTTGTACAGTAAACACATTTTTTAAAGACAACTAGCCTTTAATAAATAGATTAACAATACGCGTGAGTCAGTTTTCAAGACTTTCACACAAGAAACCATAGGGGTTTCGAGTTTCAACGAGTAAGCATCAAATCTTGTCTTCAAATGAAACCTAACCTAATAAAGGCCTAGAAGGCCAACAATCAAGATTTTCATTTACTTGCACCGGATGTACTCTGTAGAAGTAAGACAGATTACAGAAAAAGGTTTTATGCATGGGATTAAGCATCCACGTGAGATAGATGATATGCGATCACATTCTATAGCAGACTAACAATGCAATTTTAAACAGAAATTTTCCACTTCCATTGAGTGTAGGAGTGACAACGACAATTTAAGTTACTAAGGTGATATTCAGATAGTCATCTTACAGGAACGATGTCGACCTCTACAATGCTGAAATCAGGAAAGCGATAAGAGAATTTCGTTTCTGCTTTCGTCCAACATAGTCTACCAGCCTACTAGTTACCATCATTGAAGTATGATGCCCAAGATTTTGAGTTAGCTTACTGCCTACATACACCGTACTGGCTATTATACAAGTTCCACCTACTACTCGACCTAAGCCTTCTATATATTCTGCTTATGCCTCATGTGGATAAGAAACCACAACTCAATGGTGACAACTATTGTTTCAGATTGGTTGGGTAGTCAAGGGTTGATCTACCTGGTTAGCAGTATTTTCCTTAAAACTCTTTGTCAACCAAATGGCGGTTTCCCTAGGGGACACTTTCTCCGGACCAAATGGTTTCAATAACACGCCAAGTTCTTCAAACCTTTCCTCTTGCAACAGTCTGGCACTAAATTCAAGCAATCCTTCTAGAGCTTCAGCGCGCTGCTGATGTGATGACATGTCAAAGCGTCGGCGCTGCAGGTCTGATGACGTCCTGCTTGAAGCCCCGGCAGTAGCATTTAGGTCAGAAGATTCACTAGCGGCTCCCCTATCCATGGCAGGTTTATTTTCTTCAAATCCTTGCCAAGCATATGGGTAACTAAACCGTCGAAGTGGTTTGTCCAGAACCTCCACTGTGCATTTATCCTTCATGATCGAACGGTCACCTTGAGGTGAGTTTGAGGAATCTTGCACAGAAACTGATGAAGTTCTCCGGATGGGAAGCATGGAATCCTCAAACGAGTCTAAATGGAATTCAACCATCCGATCAAGACGGGGGGCATTTACTGACACATCTGGGGATTTAATAGAGTCTAGTACACCGAGATTGGGCTTGCGACCTGATTCTCGAAATTCACCCTTCATTGACAATGGTAAAGAAGCTCTACGAGTTGCAGGAACAGACTTCTTCGCCGATGAGAAAAAGGGAAGCTATAAAAAAAAACAAAAACAAAAACAAGGTACATTGCAAATAATAAGCTTCCAGCACATGGAACTAAGATATAGAAAGGCACCGCAGTATGTTAATAAAATTACAGAATGTAAAATTTGATACTTCCTTTAGATGCATGCTTATAGACTAGTAGACTATCTTCCTCTAGATGCATGCTTATAGACTACTCATGACTCTCATGTATAAAAGCAACCATATAACACGGATCTATTACTAATTCAGGAGTGAGGACATATCAGCAAATTTAGCATTATTCAGTTTCCCACCCAAATTCCACAAAATACTAGTGACATTGGCATCCTCTTCATATGTTGTAGCTGCTTTCTCTTGGAAGAAATGGACAACAGATAATTTTACTTTTAGGTAGATGCTACACAAATGCTTCTTTACAGTAACAGAAAGAACCACTGCCCCAGGGGTGGAGTGGTTAACTGCCACGAAAAAAAAAAAAAAAAAAGCAGTAAAGAAGACATGATGACAGGCAATTAGCACCACATTATAAAACTCTATATTCTTAAAATATGTATGTCGATGATCTTACCGATTCACGGTTTTTCATTAACCCTCCTTGTTTCTTTAAGTTTGGAGATGGTTTTGTCATGGTTGCCTTTGGGTTCTTGGTCACACTTGAGGCCTTTGGAGTAATTCTTTTGGTAATGGATGAAACTTCTGGCGTACTTCCAACAGATACATCTACCATTCCTCGATGCAGAAAGTTGCGGTTGTTTTGAACTGTTTGGTTTGAAAATGAATAATCATGCTCAGCATCAGATATACTAGGATTTAAGTTCCTGTCACCACCATAAGACAGACGCTTCTCTTTGTACGTGGGTAAACCAGTATTCACTGGCTCAGAGAATCTGTTCTTCTTCATATAATTGGTCTCAGGCCAATTGAGTGGAAAACTGTTCCTCCTGGGCCCACTCAGTTTGACATGAATATTGAGCACATAAGGCTGAAGGTGCGGGTGTCTAAGAAGCTCTGCAGCCTGCAAGAAAAAGCATAGGTCCTGAGTAAATGCATGTATATGATCATAATGACTTCATACTCAGTATCTCCAGAAACAAATGTAAAACTTATACTCTAAAATGTTAACGCGGGAAAGATGGGAAGATTTTCATAGTAGAAAAGGAAGAAGCTGCTACTCATCACTACGACAGCGAGAAAAACCAAAAAGAGAAAACACCCAAAGGGGAAGAAACAATTTAAATATTCATCCAGTTCACCAAAAAAAAATAAATAAATAAATTCATCCAGATCACATTTCTAGACAGATCACAGTTCTAGGCAATGGTGAAAACAGAATACTATAAAATCTTACATTCTGCAAGCAATGACTTGGCCTGGTAGACTTTGTTCCTAAGAATTTAATTATTTTAAATTGAGCTCAAATGGTTCTCGAAAAGATGTCTACTGAAAAAAAAAAAAAGGTCTATACAGATTATAGATTAACAAAGTATACTGATATACTTTAATTTATTGGTAGAAACACTAATACACTTTACAGTCAGACTAGAATGCACAGGAAAGAGAGCATATCATATGGCCTAGTCAGTTTCGAGCAGCCAGCCAATGATCTGGCAATTGAAGAAAAGAAAACAAAGAAAAAGAAGGAAAGTAAAGTCAAGTGGCAAACACATATTGGCTGATCCATCAAAAATATATAGCCAAATGATTCCATATGTTTGCTAAATATGCAAAATATAGTTAAGATAATTGGTCATACATTTGGTCGAAGTTCTGGGTTTTTCCTCAGCATGCTTTTGATCAGACCACGGCTGTAATAGGAAACAAAGGATGCTATCAGTCACAATAATCAAGAAGAATGACAAGGGAGAAATCAAGAAAGAGTAATGAAACAGTTAAAATTGTTAAGACAGTGAAAGAATATAAAACCACCCAGGCCACAGAAGACTTGAGCCACACAGGGAGAGGAGGATATAAAACATCAGAAATTTATGATTCCGCAAGCAGATGTATTCAAGAGACAAATTCTTAATGTATAGTTTTCTATCAAGTCGTCTCCACATGAAACTACTTAGACGTAATAAACTAAGAGTCTAGCAACCATGAAATACTATAGTAAGAAGAAACTTACAGTCCACTAGAGTATTGTGCCGGAAGAGGTGCCACAATGGACTTGTTTATTCGATTTATTAATGCCTGAATATCCTGTAGTAGCAAAAAATAGACTTCTGTAAGCCCCACAAAGCAGAAACCCACCAAAGGATTTCATTGTACAGTACAGTCTGGAAAGAAGTTTGCATGGAGACAACATATTTTAATCAGGATGATATTTTGATCAAATAAGGTTTCCATGGTAACACACAAAATCGATAGTAAACAATATAACAGGTTTATAGGGGAATTTGTTATCCAAAATTCAAATCAAATATATTAGTTCTCGTATTACAATATGCAACCATACGTAATGCATCAATCAACAATCATTTAGTATGCGTAGTTTTGCACAAGCAACAATCATTTAATAGTCCTCCTGATAAACTTTAAAATCTGGTTACTGAACAGCCAAAGAGTTCTATATGAAGATCCATGCGACACGGGCCAACTTACGGCCATGGCTACAAAGCTGACAACATTCTAAATATCATACTAGTTGACAAGGAAATTGGCCTGTTGCCAATGTGCTGAAGTTGGAAGCATCACAAACTTCCATATGTCAAACATTCAAGAAATACCAAACCCAAGAACTAGCACCAGAATTTCCAATATTAAATCTCACTAAGGTAATGCCCGCCTGAACAAACAATATGTTTTAAATAATGATTGTGATGCTCAATGTATTCCTGGATGTTTCATAACCACTGAACTAAGTACTACATTATGTGGAAAAGTAAAAGAGAAAGAAACTTACGAAAGCCTTGAAAGCTGGCTTGTGCGCGCACATTTCATAAATGCAACAACCTGAATTGCAAGATTGGGGAATATTAAGTTTGCTAATCCTATAAACATAACAACATATTTTTTTCGCTTATTTCGCATGTATGTAGACAATGTGTTTTGCTTACCCAGAGACCATATATCTGACTTGGAACCATAGGGTATATCAGCAAGTAGCTCGGGACACATGTAACTAGGAGTTCCAACAATCTGATAGCCCAAAAGCACTACTATGCGTGAACAATAACGTAGTATTAAATATATGAAGGTGATCGAGAAGCCATGTTGTTACTTACAGAGGAAGCAAGATCATCGGAACTCAACCGCTTGGCAAGTCCAAAGTCACCTGGATTAAATATTTATTAGTTCTGGCATTCAAACAACAGGTAATTCAGCTATCAAAGAAACCAGAGAATAAAGAAACATCATTTGCTTACCAAGACGAATGTCCTGATCTTTTGTTAAGAAGATATTTGAACACTGCACAAATATTCCAGCCAGCTTCAGTTTTCAGAAATAGTTGACCACTCAAATAAACTACAACGACAAACATTGCAGCTAACCTTAACATCCCGGTGAAGAATATGATTTGTGTGCAAGTAATCAAGGGCCATAAGGAGCTGAACAAGCCATTTACATAGTTTCTGCAATGAGATCACTGAGTTATAGAGGAAATGGATGCACCAGAAGATGGCTGCTCAAAGGAATGGGATTTCTTCCCAAGCATATAAACAAAGGCTGATGTGCTAGTAAGGATAAAGAAAGCATTGGAAAGGGTTGCAGTATTGGATATAACCTCTTCTGGGAAAAGAGCACCATTTGCTTTCTTAATTGCTTCTGCCCTAAAACACAAGTAGCATGGAAGATTACCCAGTTAGTAATTTTAACCTTTGATCATAGCACAAATGAAAGTACAAACAGATTGCAATTGTAGTATGATTCTTACATATCTCCTCCTTCGCAATAGCCAATAACAATGCAGACATAGCAACCCTGAAAAAATAAGTGGATAGCAATCATTCAATAGATGGCTTAAATGTGCTCATGGTAGGTCAAGCATTACCTATAAGTATGCATACTGAGCAAATGTTATGGCAAGCATATACGTCATTGAAGCCTAAAAACAGATCAAGCGGATAAAATAACACTGCGCCATAAGTAAACAAGATAGTCTCCTAACCTTCTCCACCCAGGAGTCTTTGTACTCAACAATATATGGGTTTCGCATCCGGGATATAAGTTCCATCTGCGAAGCAGAAAGAAGAATTATTAAGCGAAAGCCAAAGGCATAATGCATCGTGTTGAAAAGTAATGCCTCGAATTGAAACTTTCCCAGAATAAACTAAATTGAAAAACATGTCTTGAATATATACGGCTAGTTGGAATGGATGTAGTACTTTATCAAATATGACAGTAAAAGTTTTGAGTTTTAGCCGACAACTCTTTTTTTTTCCAAGGATAGTTCAGTATACAAATTAGAGTAAGCCAGTGGCTCTTAACCAAAGGGGGGACATCAGCAGGCAAAACGGACTTCCACACATGGCCAGTTGAAAATGTCCAGGAGAATCAGTTAAAATCAAATCTATTTTAATGTTAGACAAAGAAATGAACTGAAATTCAAACAAGGAAAATTTCAAATAAAAAAAGAATCACACCAACCTCCTGATGTGCATTTCGACGAGTCCTAGCTGTTTGGCGAGCAAGACGTATCTTTTTTAACACATACCTGCAAATTCATCATAAACAGTTAACATTTCATTTTCTGCATTCTGGGAGAAATACAAGAAGGAAATCACTGTTTCTAAAACAGCAAGCTTACTTCTTCTTTTCAAGTTTATGCCTTACGAGAAGAGCAGAACCAAATGCCCCTTTCCCAATTTGCTCAAGCACTTCATACTGATCCAACATTTCTTTCCAATTTCAAAACCTATACATCCAAAAAAAGAAATAGAAAAACTCATCGACACAACAGAACCCTTCAGAGACCAAAGACCAAAAAATTATTGAATGGTACCAGTCAACAACAAAAAAGACTACCAAGAAACAAATAGGTAGAAATGATATAGAGCAATTTTTCAAAGCTAATTCACCATCTTCGCAAACCACTTCTCTCTCGACATTTAAGGAAAAAAAAAAAGAAAGGAAAAAGGAGAAAATAAACACACACACAAGCATTAAGATAGCCAAATTTCTACGACACAAACTTTGACATAAAAATTTTGCAAATTTGGCTGCGTGTGCACGATTTTTGGAAGCTTCATAATTCAAAGAACCAGGAAGAATTACATGACTATTTCCAACTAAATTGTACAGCAAAAGAAATCAAGGCAAAAAATTACCAAATCAACGGAATGGCGTTTCAAAGTAAGAATTAAAATTACCAACACCAACCAAAGTACTGTTACCGACATTATATTCAAAGAACCTTTCAAGAATTAAATGAGGCACCACCGACGAAAACATGGCCCAAAAATGAAATCAAAATTGACCTAAATCTACTTCAATAAGAAGCTCAACAAGCGCAACGAACAAGATTTGCATACATTTACGCCCAAACCCTCCGGAAAATTTTCACACACAAGTGAAAATGTAGCCCAAAGTGGAAAGAAATCGAACTACATTTCCATTTCAGCGAAGAATCATTATATGAGAAGAGTCAGTGACAGACAGTCAAACCCAGTCAAAGCAAGAACGCCATGGTCAAATCTTGAGATTCACATTCAAAAACCAAAAAAAGAAAAGCCGAAAATAGTACCTGAAAGATAAAGAAAAAGGTTCGAAAATGAGAGGGAACTCACCTGAACTCAAGACTTTTGCTTTAAACAACAATGTAGGTAGATTTACATAGATCACAAGCAGGCAGCAGCTTTGTTGAAGTTCGAGGAGGGCAAATAAAAAGAAAAACACGCACACACACAGTGAGAGTTTTAAGATAAGTTCTCAAATCCCGTGCAAAATGGGAGGGAAACGACGGCGTTCTACTGCTTAAAAGTGAATGGAGTTGAAGGATTCAATGAAGAATGGGATAGATCCCAAGCAGCTTTGTTGAAATAAGCAAAATAAAAAGGGAAAAAACTAATTTCAAGAAAAAAAAAATCTTTAAAATAAAACACGCACACACACAGTACGCAAAACTTTTTTTTGAAAAGAAAAAAAGTAGAGGAGAGTTCACTGTTCAGTTCACATCTCCTATTGAAAACGACAGCATTACGGATTACAGAAGAAAGTTCAATGGAAATGGAGGAGGAAGAAGAAGAAGAGACGCCGGTTGGTTTTTTTTTGTAGGGAGTTTTTTGTATTATTTTTTGGGGTTGTGTGAGGAAAAGGGGACAAAATTGGGACCCGGAGGAATTAGATTGGTTTTGGTGGTATTGGAAATATGCAATGAACAACCCAAAAAAATATAAAAAAAAATGTAAAATCACAAGAAGACAAAATAAACCATAAAAGCTAGTTTTAAATAATTAATTAATTAAAAAACGATCTGAAAAGTTTGTTTAATTTATGAATACATTTTGGATAAGTTGGCGGGGATCTTAGGAACTTAGGATTAATTTAATTGATTGGTTAATTAAAATAAATAAACCTTGTGTTTTCAGAGATCTTTGGCGAGAGAGACAGTGGAAGAAAGGGCGGTTTTATTATAAGCCGTATTAATTATTACCATCTCTTTTTGGTGGACTTTCTTCGAAGGTGTTGTGGGCTTGTTTGGATGTGAGTTGTGGGAAAAGATCTACGTGTGACCGTGACCTTTTTTAAGCGTCATTATATTTACTGTGACACTATTAATACGGGATGATAAAAATGAAGAAAGTGTAACGTAAATTTTATAATTATGAGTACCTCCCTAATCTGAAAGTTATTGCAACGCATGTAAATCCTTCAATATCTAAAATACGTTGTATGTATGATGTAATCCGTATAAATACATAACTATCAAACATATTTCTTTTAGTGAATGTGTATGAATTTGATATTTACATCTCATAAACTAGTATCGTACACGTGCATTGCACAGCAAGAGTCTATATGCATCTATTAATATGTGTATTGTTGTAAAGTATGATGGGAGAATTATTGATATTTTGTATGTGTGTTTTTTGTAAGGAAAAGGCTTGTCGTATATATGAAACAACACGTATAATAAACATTCGATGTTCGAACTGTTTAGGTAAAAAGTAATCGAACCGCACAAAAAGTATCTATTTAATTTTTACGAAAAAGGAAACAAAGCAATAACAAATGGTATGACCATAGAAGGTTCATATATTTTCCAAGACTTCTTTTTAAACAATATTTGTTGTACGAGTGTAAAATTCTCCATCTTTATTGCAGATAAGGATGTGAAGACATTTCTTGGACTTAACTCTGGAAAGAGCAACATATATTACCATGAGTAAATACCGAACAACGTAAAAACAATACCACTTGAGTTTATGACTGTCCCTGACTTTTATTGATGGTCATTGCAAAACATACAACAACTGGGAATTGCCTTCATCTTAATTTGACCGGCATATGTCCGTCGGTTGGACTAACATCCATGCATGGAATGAAATATCTTTGACTATTAGCTTTAGAAATAATGGTTGTCTGAATTACATGATCTCTCAAATCATTGACTTGTAGCCTTGTACCATTACTTAGTCCACTGGACTGGTCCCATATCACGAAGCAGCTTGATTGGGACTCCGCCTTTAAGAGATATCTTGTGGTTTGGCATGCCAGAACATTTTATAGAGTTGAGAAAATCTTATGTATATACCTCAGCGTCCTCTGGATTGATTGATGTTGTTATCTCTTCGATGCAATCTGAACTGTAATATACTTTTGATTCCCCATCGAGAAGTGACAACATATGCTCGTTGATGGCATCAACTTCGTCGTTGGTATTCGATATAATATTCATTTCATTGAAGAATCTTGGGACTTCCAAATTTGACAAAATGTTAGGATATATAGCATTACAAACAGATGCAATAGGAGTACCTGTTGGTTTGATGATGAGATCTTGGAAAATATCGATTTCAACTTCTCCGTTATTTGGGCCACCCACTTTTCCTTCATTAATGTCAAGTAACCATTCAGAAAATTCATGTATCTCAGTAGATAGGTTGGAACCACCACCTTGCATCAAACGCATGTTCTTTGTCAATTGTAGCACTTTTCATTCTTTCCATAGCACGGACGCATTTATCGCAGCATCAACAATTTCATATCCTGTACCCCTAAATATAACTGGCAGTAACTGTCGGAAATCTCCTCCTAACACAATAACAATTCCACCAAAAGTGTTTGAAAGCATTCCGACGTGGATGGCAGTAGATGTGTGACCAAGTCGATCATTCCCGCTTCTTGGTAGTAGAGGCCTGGTTGAGCGGATCATCAAGGTCACATTCTAAGATATTTCTTTTTGCACTAGAGTTAATGTTCGAAATATTTCATCAACGTTAGCTATAAGAAATAATAATTTGTATGAATGATTCTTCATAAAAATATCTACATTTTCGACGGCCCGTTGAATACCCGCCGTCCAAAAAAAAGGAAAAAAAAATCCATAACTACTTGTCCAAAGAGAAATTCTTCAGTAGTGTTATCTAATTATGAAAGGGTTGCCTTCTAACGAGTCTCATTTTCATTTTCACCAGCATGTCGCTCTACATCGTCCTGCTTAAAAGGTTGCGAGTCTTTGGCAGTGATAAAAATTTACAATGAGTTTGGCTGCTATTTTAGTATTTTATGACAGCCAGTTAAACCTTTGAAAAAAGAAAATAAATCAGTGGACCTCATTTTATTTTCATTTTTATCTTTCCATCTTCATTTTCGACAACTTGTTGAACCCAAAAAAATAGAAAAGAAAGAAGAACCAAATACTACTCGACTAAAATGAGTATAATGTGAAATTGGTAAACTATCCTGCAAAACAAAAAGTGAAAAATATATTCATTCCATCTCTTTTTAATAAAGAAATAAATATTTCTCTTTATAATGTTTTAGTTGAAACAATAATTTTTAAGGGTCGTGTTTCAACAAGTCTCATTCTATCTTCATTTCCATCTTAAACACCATGTTACTCTGCATCAAACTTTTTAAAAGATTCTGAGTTATTCATAAGTTAAAAATCTGTACTGGTTTTGACTGCTATTCTATTATTTTTTGATAGCCCATTGGATCAAAGGAAGAAAAAAGAATGAGAACTGAGATCTCATTCCATCTTTGTTTCATCTTTCTATCCTCAATTTTGAGGACCCCTTGAACTAAAAAAAGAAAAAGAAAAAAAAAAGAACAATCAAGCACTAATTACTTGTCCAAAGAGAAATTCTGTAAAAATGTGTTATCTAATTATGAATGGGCTGTCTTCTGGTAGATTTTATTCTATCTTCATGTTCATCTTTAACAGCATGTCATACTGAATCAACCAATGTTTTGGCTGTTATTTAATATTTTTTGACAACACGTTGAATCAAAAAAAATTTAAAAAAAAATTGACGGATATCATCTTATCTTCATTTTCATATTTATATTTCTTTTTTGATAGCTCATTGAAATAAAATAAAAAAAAGAAAGATGAAGCAAGCACTCCTTACTTGTCGAAAGAGAAGTGCTTTATAAGTGTTATCTAATTAGGAAAGGCCCGTCTTCCGGTGAGTCTTATTCCATCTTCAGTTTCATTTTTAATCGCAAGTCCCTCTACATCGGCCTACTTAAAAGGTTCTGAATCTTTGATAAGTTAAAAAGTTATTGGTTGCTATTTTAGTATTTTATGTCAGCCTATTGAACCTTTGAAAAAAAAAACCCGGTGGATCTCATTCTATTTTCATTTTCATCTTTTCATCTTCATTTTCGGCAGCAAGTTGAACCCTTGTCATCACCTCACTCTTACCCCGTCCATCTTATTTTGTTTTCGG